TTAACATAAAATACCTGTCATGATTAAGGTCTTAGTTCTTATACGAACACTCTTATCAGGTATGATAGTTCAAAAATTTAGATTATCTCTCAGGGTTCAGTCAAGGGCCAATCCTTTCTTTCTGTAAAAATGTGCAATGTCTACACAACATCTTCTGCATTAACTATAGCCAAAAACTTTTATTGCACAGTGTGTTGTTGAATTCTTCTGTTTCATTGTTAATATTCTGTCTAGGCATTCTACCAATTGTTGAGAGGGTTGTTGAGGTCTCTAAACAATGATGCTTGTTTATTTCTCCTTTATCAGTTTTTGCTTCATGTATTCTGCAGCTCTATGTTTTTTATGCAGACATTTAGGATTTCAATATCTTCTTGGTGGGTTGACCCTTTTGTCATTATGTAGTACTATACTTCTTTCTGTCTCTGGTATTCTCCTTTGCTCTAAATCTGCTCTCACTGGTACAAGTACAATTGTGAGGATACCCCAAAACCAGGCAGTGCTTCATTCTGTTGTACATCGATTACTATGAGTTGGAACTAACCTGATGGTACCTAACATCAGCAACAACAGAAATATACTATATCTCTGTTATTCGAGAATGACCAGCTGCCATCAGGTTTATTGCAAGTCTAATAATGACTCATGTGTATCAAGAATTATATGCTATACAAAGTATAGTGATGAAATCAGATGATATCTAGCTATCAGAAAGAATAGCATCTAAAGACTTAAAGGCTTGACTTAAAACAAGCAGCTATCCAAATGAAGTGACCCCTAAGTCTGGGTGATCCAAGGATTGTAAATAATAAAATACATGATCAGAGGAGAGAACTACATTAGAGCACAAATTCTAAGCACCCAATTTTGAGAAGGCTGTGATTGACCATTAAAGCCCAAAGTCCATTTGCAGAGTCCCCATGTGGATTAAGCCATGTTGACTCTCCTCCAAACATGGACCAAGATGTGAATAGCCTTGCCCTTAGATAGAATGCGTTGGAAAAGGCATTACCTCCACCTGCTGGACCAGTCCAGGAAGGGGCAATCTCCCTTGGGGGCTTGCCTGAGTGTGTCCCTGATGGAGACTACTGAACTAGGGAGTGTGACAGTCATGAATCATAACCTCACTGCTCTGGAGAGGCCCTTGGACCAATCGTGTAAGCTCCTCTGTCTACCACAACATGCATCTCCCAACCAGGGTCTTGTTTTCATTACAATCATAACTATGATGTACTAATCTGATGCCAACATTGTATTTGTAACAGTTTTCCTAGACTTTTCATGTTCTTTTTAAAATTCTGTATATCATCAAATCCTTGGGCACCATTATAACCTCGTGTTAACGGTTTTGCTCATCTGTTTAATGTCTTTTTCTTGTTCTTGCCCTAATTAAGACTTTAATAAATGTTCTCTTACAAAAGAAGACAAAGAAAATTTTATGCTAGATAAAGGAGCAGCCAAACTACAAACATGAAAGAGTGTAGGAGAGAGATCTTAGAAATTAAAATTTTGAAAAATATTATTGAAGAGTTTGAAAGACAGTTTAAAGAAGTCTCTGTGAGTGTAGATTTAAAAGAAAAATAGAAAGTTCAAAAACTTAATAGGGAAAAAAAAAACAACTTAATAGGGATATTGAATTAAAGAACACTCACTGCCATTAAGTTGTTCCAAATCATTGTGCATCTAGGAACCTTGATAGTAGAGTGGGTTACAAGTTGGACTGTTAACTACAAATTCGGCAGTTTGAACCCACAAACCAATCCACTCGAGAAAGATGAGACATTCTATTCCCATAAAAATGTGCAGTCAGGGGCAGCTCAACTGTGTCTTACAGGGTTGTTACGAGATGAATAGAGATACTTCCGGCCAGAATAGAAAGACCGGCCATTAAGAAAAGAAGTGAACCGAGAAAATGGAGTGGAGAAAACCATCAGCAAATAGCTGTAACTGAAGGGCGTGGATACTAGATTGAGACCACTGAGCTGGGGACAGAGCCACGCGTCATGGACAGCACCATGGAATTTCAGAACCCTAGAGCAAGGACGATATAAAGTTGGGGGTTAGGTATATACAAATATTCTAGACTCAGAATGGCTTTGTACTTAATCGAAGCCACAGCTGGAAGTTAGAAAACAATAAATATCAGTAGATTTAACATTTTAAAGAGGTCTTTTAAAGCAAATTTGCCCAATGTAACAATACATTGTTTGATTTCTTGAATGCTGCTCCATGAGTATTCATTGTGATCCAAGGACAATGAAATCCTGACAACTTCAATATTTTCATCATTTATCATGATGTTGCTTGTTGGCACAGTATGAAGATTTTTGTTTTTATGTTGAGGTGTGATCCATACTGAAAATGTGTGTGTGTACATTATTTACATGGACCTGTTATACATGATCATCATCTGCAAGTGCTTCAAGTTCTCCACTTTCAGAAAGCAAGATTGTGTCATAAATATCACAGGTTGCTAATGAGTCTTCCTCCAATCTTGATGCTACAATCTTCTTCGTATAGTCCAGCTTCTCATATCACTTCTTTAGCAAACAAATTGAATGCTAAGGAATATTAAGGAATGTAAGGATTCAACCCTGATGCTCATCTGTCATGATTTTAAAACATGTAGTATCCCCTTGTGCTGTGTTTGTTTTAATTGCCTCTTGTTCTATATGTAGGTTCCTTATGCGCACAGTTAAGTGTTCTGGAATTCCCATTCTCCATAATGCTGTTCATAATTTGTTAAGAACCACAAAGGTGGAATACCTTTTTTGTAGTCAATAAAACTCAAGTAAATATTTTTCTGGTATTCTCTGCTTTCAACCAAAATCCACGTGATGTCAACATTAATATCCCTCTTTCCACGTCCTCTTCTTAATCTGGCTTGAATTTGATAGTTCTCTGTCAGTGTACTTGCTGCAACCATTTTTGAATTAGCTTCAGCAAAATTTTACTTGCACATGATATCAATCTTGCTCACCTTGCTCTGCATTCTGTTGGATCACCTGTCTTTGGAATGGGCACAAATGTGGGTCTCTTCCAGCTAGTTGGCCAGATAACTGTCTTCTAAATTTCTTGGAGTAGAAGAGTGACCACTTCCAGAGTTGCATCTGCTTGTGGGAAGATCTTAATTGGTATTCATTGATTCCGGAGTCTTGTTTTTAACCGAAGTCTTCAGTGTAGCTTGGACTTCTTCCATCAGTACCACTGGTTCTTCATCATTTACTACCTCCTACAAAATGTTCAACATCAAGCAGTGACTTTGGGTCCAGTGACTTTGAGCATCCCTTCCTACATTGTTCAGTAGTACTTAGCACATGGAACCCTTCAGTACCCCCCACCCCTTTCAGGTCTGTCAGTTTGAGAGATGACAAGTTTGCGCCTCCATTTTGGTTTTATAACTCCGAGTCTTGGCACATTTCATTATAACCCTTTACTTTGTCTTCTTGAGCTGCCCTTTACAATCTTCAGTTCTTTTATGTCATTATTTCTTCCATTTGTTTTATAATCTTTTCTGACATCTACTTTGGTCTTCTCTTTCTTGCCTGTCTTTCTAATGACCTTTTGCTTTTTTCATACATGATGTCGTTAATGTCACCTCACAACTCATCCCATCTTTGATTATCAGTGTTCAGTGAATCAAATCTATTCTTAAAATAATCTCTTTACTTAAGGCCATAGTTTGGCTCTTGTGGACTGTTTTCATTGTCTTCAGCTTCAACTTAACCTTGCATCTGTTTCATAGTTTGTCCCTGCCCCTGAGCTTCTCCATCACCTCTTTCCAAAGATTCAGTCAGTTCGAATCCTGTGTTTTCCAGCATTTGAGGTCCGTGTGTATTATCACCATTGATATTGTTAAAAAAAAGGATATTGCCATGAATAAGTCCTTAGTCTTATAAAATTCTATCACGGGAGCTCTATGTCATCTCTATTACCACTGCCATATGTTCCAACCACCAATCCTTCTTTGTTTTCAGCTTTCACATTCCAACCACCAGTAATTATCAATGCATCTTGATTGTATGGCTGATCAATTTTAGACTGTAGAAGTTGGTAAAAATCTTCAATTTTTGTATCTTTGACATTAGAGGTTGCAATGTAAATCTGAATAAAAGCGATAGTCACTGGTTTTCTTTGCGTGAGTGTGGCTATTATCCTATCACTGACAATGTTGTACTTCAGAAGATGTCTTGTTCTTTATGACGATGAATGCAGCATCGTTCCTCTCCTGTTTGCCATTCCAGGCATAGTAGATCATAGGAGTCTCCAAAAAGGCCAGCACTCGCCTCGGATAGGGATAGTCATCCATTCTGCTTCACTGTTGACAACTTCCCGCTTTCTTAGGGTCTTTCTTCATACATTCCACATTCTGGTTACTAGTAGATGTTTGCCGCTGTGGTTCTCATTTTGAGTCTGTCACATCAGCACATGTGGGTCCCCAGAGCTCTACTTGACTGTGCTGTGAGGAGGCAACTTTGCCCGGTTGTACTTTGAGTGCCTTCGAACTTGAGGAGTCCCTTTTCCAGCAGTACGTCACGTGTGTGAGATTCCGTGTTAGTCAGTGATGTCTCAGCAACATGGCAAGCAATATATAAGCTGCTGTAATTTTGAGTCATTCACCAAGCTTCAGTTTCCACATATGTGAAATAGAAAGAATGTGTCTACTTCAGAGTGTATTTAAAGATTGCATATTACTTGTTTGTTACTGTGCCTCCTGGAGAGCAGGTGACCTGTCATTGTTACTTCTATTCCACCACCACCCCCCGCCTCTTCTATGGACTGAGAAAGTAGTCACGTTTTCAGGTTACCTCCTTAATACATTTAGCAAAGCCTTTGTGGCTCATTCTCAGTACCTTTTAATGGCTAAGAATAATAGGCAAATGTTAGAGGAGTGGATAAACAGGCTTGCTCTAACACTAATGAAAACCTTTTCTCAAGAGAGCAAAGACGTCAAGCTCTGATCATGACACTACTTGACACAATTTCATTTTGCTTCTCGACAGGGTTTATCCATGGCTTAGAGGACTTGGTTATACATCCTTGGGTATATTTTTATTGGGATTCTTATTGTGGAACATAGATAACATCTTTTGTGATTCACTAAGGTAAGATATAACCTCATTCCTTGAGAAATATTTCAGAAGGCACATTACACAAAGGCATATTAGAATTATTAGTGCTTTGAACTTAATTTTTACCATTGTTGAAATATAAAAGATATATAGATCAAAATGAAGTTAAATTCAGGGAATACCTATTTAAATTACCTAAAAGTTTAGACTTGAAAATATGTTATAACACCTGTAGGATTTTTATTTTCTTCTAGGTTCTTAACAGAATGATACAGTTAATCAAATATTAAGTAGGTCTTTAAAACCTGACTGGTCTGCTTTACTGAATACATAATAATCACTTCTAATTACATAATAAATGAAATACATGCATATAAATTTGCACTTTAATGTTATTTGCTAAGAAAGACAAGTGTTCCTTTTACCATCTGGTCATCAACTGTGTACTGACAAGAGTTTAATCCTACACTTAGGTTTCTAGACCTTACTCTACCACTTACTCTTTCCAGTCCTCGGCTTCCGTAAAATGAGTGTGTTAAATACGTTCAACTAATGAGTCCTTCCAACTCAAAATTCTATGAGCTATCAGTTTTGCATAATTCCAGAGATCAGAGGACTGTGTTGAATAGTACCACAGAGAGACAGTCAGCAAAGTTCAAGGAATAGGGAATCCAAGGCAGACGCTAACATATATGAGCCTAAAATAATACATGGCCATCTTGAGGTGATCGCTTTTGAAGATTATTGAGCCACCCCTTCGATGTTAGCACATCCTCTTTTCTACTTCTGTAGGTGTTTGAAATGTGTTGATAACGTTTAAAATGAAAACATGTTAATGCCTATGGCTACTTAACAACTTATGCAAGTCTACTACATACAAACCTTTATTAAACAAAATTTTTCAAAATGTGAAGCTGTTAGTTATCAACATATCCCCCATCGAGGTCTAGCCAGTTCTAAAGTTCTGACCCTTCCCCAGAGAATTCTGTGCTCTGCAATTGATACGGTGTTGAAACAGTAGCTTGGACATAGTTGAGGAGCAAAAAAGAAGTCTGAAGGGATAAGATCAGAGCTATAGGACAATGGGGTAGTTTTTCAATGAAATCCTCATAGGACAGCTCTTGTTATTCTCTGCACAATGTCTTGATGTAAAAAAAAAAATTCCTCAGCATAACTTTCTTGGCTGTTTTTTAACTAATGTAGTTTTCCATTTTCTTAAAACTTCTTCCTAATAAGCCCTTGTGATCATCCTCTGTAGTTTGAGAAAAAAACCTATCAAGACGACCCCTTGGAGTCCCCCAAACAATCACCACAATCTACTGAGCCAACCTCTTTGCCTTGACTTACACTGGTCCAGCAGCTCCCCTCAGAAGTCACTGTTTGGGTTGAATCTTTTTAAAGGTGCCCCAGTGTTACTGAGGCAATAATGCTAGTGAGTAAGGTTGGCTGCAGCCGTCAACAACTTACAGAGACATATTTAAACATAGTTTGTTTGGAATAAGCCTCTGTGTGTGTGTGTGTGTGTGTGTGTGTGTGTGTGTGTGTGTACTGGAAACCCTACTAGCAATATTTTTGACTTATCCTTGTACTGTTCGGATTTTAGTAGTCTTGTTTTTAAAAAATAAACTGTAGCTCAGTTAAACTATAGTATCTAAATGTGTTGTTGATATCTTTGAAAGCAAATATCCTGATTAAAAGTAGACTGTAATATTGAAATATTTACAGATGTAATAAAATATATGGATTTTGCTTCAAAATAACGTGGGAAGGAGAAAGTGGACAAGGGTGTAGATGACGCAAAATTCGCTATAAATTGGTGGGGGGAAATTGCTGAAGCTGAGTAATAAGTACATTATTAGTCTATTTTAACACATTTGAAATTACCCATAATGAAAAGTTAAGTAAAAGTGAACAAAAAAGTAATACAACTGACTCAGATAACCAAGATTTAACGAGCCTTGGTGGCATACTGGGTTACACATTGGCTTCTAACCACAGGTCAGCAGTTCAAATCCACCAGCCACCCCATGGGAGGAAATGAGGCTTTCTGTTTCCATAATGTCTGTTGTCTCGGAAGCCCACAGGGGCAGTTTTCCCCTGTCCTATAGATTCACCATGAGTCAGAATTGACTCGGTAACAGTGAGACAGGAGTTTCTACTCTGGCTTTTATCATTCTTTGGTGAGAATCACTAATCAAATCTAGTCTTAAGAAACAAACAGATTCTTAAACATGATATTTTAAAAAATTAAAGCCACCTAAGGATATGTAGAAGAATAATTTGTTATTTCACATTAGATTATATTCTCTAATAAATGAAGATATTAATATGTTAGTCACTTGCCCAGCACTAACAAGATGCTTAGGCAACTGAATTACCCTCTCTGGAGGTTAACTTCTTAATTTGTAAAGTACTGATAATATAGCCTCTTCAAAGAATCACTGACTGTGAAGTGAAAAAGTAGATACAAAATAACTTCATAGACTATATGGTGGTGTGCTAAAATCATAGTTATATGTAGCGAATACAAGGGGCATATATCTAGAAGAAGAAAAAAGTTCATGGATTAGTACATTACCAAAAACATTAAGAGTACTATTTTATATATAGAATGCCTTTTCAAACCTTTAGTCTGTTAATATGCTTTATTATTATCTCTCCAAAAGGAGAATAGACATTATACTTTTCTCACACTTATCTGATCAGAGTCTCTTCTTCACGGAATATCTGCTAGGAATCCTAACAGGATACATGTTAGAAAACAATACTGTAGACTGTAGTTTTCTTATGCCTACTTCAGAAAATTAAGTAATTGCTGTGTAACTGCCACAGTTAGTTAATTAATTTAACGTATAATATTTACTATATATACATAAATATTTAGCATGACATTTTTGTGTGCTTTGTTTTTCCTTCTCCACACAGGAGCGTTCGAAAGAAGATGCCACCCATCATAGGTGTTACCACACAGTTCCATGCATGGTGGCATATTTTAACTGGTCTTGGCTCTTATCTTCACATCCTTTTCAGGTGGGAACTGGAAGCTTTCTTAATGGTCGTAGATCTTGCTTTGTTCTTCTAATAGGCTGGTATAAGAAATTATGCCATAAAATAGCTAAACAGAGTATTTCCATAGGCAGCTCATGAAGACAAGATAAAATGCTCTGATGTTAGTGCAAGTAGGGTATAAGCGTTTCCAGTTCCTTGTTGATCAGGGTTTCTTTGTTTCCAGAGGTCAGTTGTTTTAAATGGGAGAGGCAGCCAGATGGCCTGCAGAGGGGACTGCGAAGGCATGCCTTTTACGCTTTCTCATTCCTTGGATAAGTCAGCCAGCTGCCCTTCTCTTTCCATGCTCCCGTCATAGGACGTCCACTGGAGGGCAGTCATTTACAGCAGAAATGAAACCCGAGCCCTCTCTGATAACGCCATTCAAGTGAGAGCCCCCATACCACTTTCTCTCTCTCTACTATGCTTTATTTTCATCAACAAATTCATAACCCACACACTGTCAGTCAGTTCCAACTCATAGCAACCCTAAAAGGCTCAGTAGAACTCAGGACTATAATCTTTATAGAAATCAATGGGTTCAAACGACCGACCTTTCATGTAGCAGCCAAGCACTTTAAGCACTGTGCTACTAGGAATCTTCACTTTATTAGCAGTTATGTCTTTAAGACACCATGGTAGCACCATGGTATTTGAAAGCACTCAGCCCGTAACTGGAAGGAGGGCAGTTTGAATCCACCAGTCACACCATGGGAGAAGGATGTAACTCTGTTTCCATGAAAATGTACAGCCTTGGAAACCCTATGGCAGTGGTGCTCCACCTTCCTCATGCCGCGACCCTTTCATACAGTTCCTCATGTGGTGGTGATCCCCAACCATAACATTATTTTCGTTGCTACTTCATAACTGTAATTTTGCTAGTTATGAATCATAATGTAAATATGATATGCAAGATGTATTTTCACTGTTACAAATTGAACATAATTAAAGCACAGTGATTAATCACAAAACCATATGTAATTATGTATTGTGAAATATTTATGTTTACCGGTGGTCTTAGGCAACCCCTGTGAAAGGGTCATTCAACCCCCAAAGGGGTCACAACCCACAGGTTGAGAACCACTGCCCTGTGGGAAGCCCTATTCCACCCTACGGGTTTGCTGTGAGGCACTATCAACTCAAGGGCAGTGGATGGGTTTGGTGGCTCAGTGGCTAAAGCATTCAGCAACTAACCAAAACATCAATGGTTCGAACCTACCAGCCATTCCACAGGAGCTAGATGTGGCTATCTGCTTCCATAGGATCACAGACTTGGACACACGATGGCGCAGTTCTATCCTTTCCTATTAGCTGTGAGATCCCTGTGAGCTGGAATCTACCTGACGGTGGTGGGTTTTGTTTGGTTTGTTTTTTTTATGCATTTATTTACTTGTTTACACCCCTTAACTAGAAAATAGGTTCTTCAAAAGCAAGGACTTTGCCTTATTCACTACTACCCTCCCAAATAATTAGAATTCTGCCAGCACATTACAAGTATTTAGTATTAAGTGTTAAATGATGTAATGAATGTGTGCATGGTGTCTCTTTGGCAGTGGACCAGGAATGTTTTGTCTCAAAATTTTTAATCTCAAAATTTCCCCTGTCTTCTCAAGAACTGAGATCTAAGATCTATGTAAAAAGAAGCAGAAAGTTTCTCCTAGAAGCAGTATGAAAACTTACTCAGGTGAAATTTTTAGAACATCTCACCTACTTGTAAAGCAGCTTATTCAAGTATCCTGAATTACTTACAGTTTATTTTCTGAGAGGTGTATAAAAAGTGTAGGGGTGGAATTCATGCTATGAAGAGTTCAAGGTTGTTCATCGTGGAAGCTCTCTTTAAATCCTGGTTCTAAGAGTATTTATTTTACTCTTTTGTAACTTATTAGTACATTGATTATATGAATTTTCAGCCCATAGCATATTGGAAATTATCAATTTAATTTAAAGAGACAGGATATGGGAGGAAAGGCATGGGGAAACTGACAAATGACAAAAAGAAGTATAATGCAAACCTCAAATTTGAAGCCCTCGTGTGTGTGTGTGTGTGTGTGTGTGTGTGTGTGTGTGTGTGTGTGTCTGTCTGTCTGTCTGTCTGTCTGTCTAAGCTCACTGGTTTTGCTTCTCTAGAGAACCCAGTCTAAGACAGTATCCAAAAAGGAACTGTGAGGCCTTAGACATTTGTCTTCTGGTACAACTTTATTTGATGGTCAAGAAGACGGGGTCCAAAACAGAAGTGACTTGTTGAAACCAGTTAGATTTCAAGGCAATAAAGTTTAATGTATTGGCCAAACATTAGACGACCTGAATTCAAACCCTGCCTCTAGCATTCACGAGCTCTGTCTCCTTGCATGAAATAGTGGAACTTCTGAGACCCTCTGTCACATGCGAAATGGGAATAATAATATCCACCTAATAAGATAATTCAAGAGTAAAACCTCGGTCAAAGCTGCCCAGTTGGGATATAGCTTAGCAGTTGAGAGCGATGGATGTTGCAGGCAGGAGTGGAATCCAAGTCTTCCCTGCCTCAGCGCAGGACTCTTCTTGGAGAGAAAAATATATGGTTAGGTTCATTTGAGAAAGTAGCATCCGAAAACCTTTTAGTATGAGTTTGTGTTTTAAGATAAGCATTCTTTCCGAATTAAATAATACTGGATGATCTCATTACAGTTCTAGTTGTGGACACCATGTAGTAGTGTCACAGCCTCATTAACTTACACAGGGCAGCGATGCATGCTCCTCTACTTTCTCGTTTAAAATACTTTTAAAATATATGTATATTTTTATATATCTTTGTGATATATTGTACATATCTAAATACACTTACATTGTCCACATAAAACTATGCATGTGCTGTTTTACGGGCAGTTTGGTGAATTTTTCAAGAGTAGATTTAACTCTCCCGTTGCCGTCTGCCCTGATTTCAGAATCTGAGCTCATCTTCCGAGGTGAGTCATTTTCAAGGATACAGTGAAAGGGACCTTCTGTTATTTCCTGGTAATCTTATGCCTGTCCTGGAGCCCTGTGTCGCTGATACTCATTCCCAGAGTACTAGAGGAAGACGATTTTAACCCTTACTCTCATATGGCCTCAAAGACGAACTGCTTATCATGATAAGAGTGATACCAGGTACTGAAGGAAAGCTGCCCGCTCAACAACGAAAGCCTTGAAGTCGCAGTCTATGAACTGATTATTCGTGTGTCTTCCTTAACATCCTGACACGTATTCGACACGAACACTGCTGGGGGAAAGCATTGTTTGCAGAACAAACCAAGGCTATACCAGTGTTTCCTTTTCTTTGGATATTAAGGGCCTTCACTCAATCGTGGAAAAAAAGTAGAATTAAAAGATGATGGAAGTTTTCCATGAACTTTTTGAAGCCCCCTTAGTTAGGCGCTGTGCTTAAATGTGCTGGTAGGCCAGGTTACACAGATTGAAATTAGTCTGAACAACTTTTCCCCACCCTCCTTTTCTTTCAGTTTATATACAAGAACACTTTACCTAAGATACAGGCCAAAAGTGAAGGTAAATCCACTTCCTAGGTCTATGGGGGTGGGGGCGGGGACTGCGGCCTGTTGGGAGGCTGGGGTGGAGGTGGGAGAGAAGAGGGAAGGAAGAGGAAGTGGAGCGAGCTTCGGCTTTGGAGCCAGAAGGCATTGACTTTTTAATACTCTACTTATTTGCTACTTATGTGTGGTCTAGTCTTTTGCCTTGGCTTCTTCAACACTAAAAAAAGCTGTTGTGCAGTGAACACAACTGTTGCTGAATTGTGCACATAAACATGGTTGAAATGGCAACTGTCTTGTTACACCTATGTGACCACAATTACAAAATGCTTATGCTCAGTTAAAAATAACATAGCTATTAGTAGCTATGTTGTAGAGTTGTTTTGAGGATTAGATTTAGTGCACCGCTCCATACTTGACAGTGTGAATGCTTCATACATTAAAATCAACTAAATAATAAGTCTCTGTGCTCTGGCAGAAACCTGGAAGGGTTATGGATTGTTTTCTTTGACCTTCCTGCTGTGAGCAGGCAACTAAGACCATTACTCACTAGCAGACCTGCCGAGCACTGCAGTCACTGCCTCATGGTTCTCTGTCTCTTTCAGGGATAACATAGAACAATTTTACCTTCTCTCATTTTTGTCCTAAATTGTTTCCAAACAGTTTCTCCTTGGAATCTGGCCAGTGATCCTAATTGAGCCTCTCAGGAAGCACTGATGAATTATCCTGCCAAGAAAACAAATAAAAAAGCTGCCTGCCATCATCCTGACAGAATGAATAAGGAAAATCTCAAAGATCCGTGGGTTGAAGTAGATCCTGACCATCACAGCAAAGGAGTGGCTCTTTCACAAAGGCTGCCGCCAGCCAGGCCAAGAAGGAGTTGAGCCTCCAGGGTGCTTAGCTCCTTTCTGTAGCTCATTCCTTCTCCTCCTCCTTACCCTAAATGTTCAGAAAGAAACAGATATGATGTTTATGTACATAATGCAAATTCTTTCATTTTAAAAGCGGGCTTTTCTTAACAGGTTAACAGTTCCTCTTGGTCATAGGAAATGTAATCTTTTTGTTTGGGACAGGGTTGCATGTGATTCATGCCTTTCCTCTAAGATCTGCAATGTGTCTTTGATGAAGTAATGAAAGCGGTCAGCTAAGGACTGGCAACCCCATCTCCAGATGGTCAACTATGAGCCAGCACTTCCCTGTGGCAGCCTCGAGTGATAGTTTTGTCATTAACCTCACAGGTGGCTTTCCAAGGTGAAAACCGGTGGGATTCTAGATAGTGTATCTCTGTCTGCCTCTGGAAGAGTCAAAGTGTCTGTCATAAGCCAGCCCCGACCTGGCACTGAGGTCTCCGCACTCCCCTCCCGGGATGCCCAGGAGACTGGGGTTTGTGTGTGGCCACAGCTCCGCAGGGTGGTGTTTGTCCTGCAGCCTTTCTGAAGATCTGGAGGAGCCTGTTACACTTCCAGCCAGTGGGGCGGTGGTAGATGTCACGCTTTTTATGGCCAGGCAAACCTGACTAGCTTGCAATCCTCCATTCGCCCAGCATAACCTTTTTAAAGTTATCTGTGAATATTGGTATGCTCTGACATGTTACCTTTTGCAGCATGTTTTTGGGTCTCAAAGACCTGGGTCATGCCCAGGAAAGGTGATCAAGATCACTAGAGCTAAAATGATCAGGATCCTGTCTATATAATTGTTAATTTCTTTCATTTTTTGAAAGAAATAAGAGATGAGCTGAGAACAGTTTTCCATAACTTCTAACTTGCAGAATTCCTCAAAATTAAAGTGCCAAGAAAGGGCAGCACAATCTCATTTTAAAGAAGCTATTCGTAATGTAAGTTCGAGAGTATAGTAAACGGAACTACTTTTCACGAATGTGACACCTGCCTGAGTGAAAACCTGATTTGACTCCACTGCTCATACCTAAATCACCGTCACTGTAGCCTGCACCATCTAGCAATTCCGTGGCCCTTCTCCTGCGTTCTGCACGAGGCCGTGATCCAGATGCGCCTTCACCAGTTGCGCTGAGTCAGTTACTCAAGGCAGCCCCTGAGCAGTTGCACTTTTCAGAGCAGAACTGTGCTTCGTAAGGTTGTCCATGGCTGTGATCTTCCAGAAGACTCAGACATTTCTTCCAAAGCACTTTGGGGTGGATGCAAACTGCCAGACTTTCAGAAAGTAGCCGAGCACTTGGCCAGTTCTCAACACCAGAACCAACCCCAAACCCACGGCCATAGATGCGATTCCGACTCAACAGTGATGCTGTAGGACAGAGAACGGCTCCTCTGGTTTTCCAGGACAGAGCAGCAGCCTGACACATCTCTCCTCTGCCGCCCACTCCCAAACGCTGACCTTTTGGGTCACAGCAGTGCCACTGTGCCACCTGGGTTCCTCAACACCAGACAGTGCCCCATGGAGCTACAGCTTCAAAAGAAACATCCTGTTTTTCTTAAGCCCCTGCATTCAGTTATTTAGTCTGGCCTCTGTTAAATCAAAAATAAATTTTGACGTTTTTCTTCACCTATTGACCCAAGCTTTAGTCCTCTTCCGCTGCAGTGCTGTTTTCCTGCCCTTCATGCGCTAATGCTCTGCCCCCGCCTTGACGATCTTCAGCTGAGAGAAACACTGGCCAAAACAAATGCAAGGGAACTGGCTGTGGAGCTCTGTTCCTTAGGAGGCTCTGAACCTGAGGTGTACACACACACACACACACCACCCCCACCCCCGCACCCCAGGGACTCTCTCTTCTTTTGCCAGAAGAGCCTGACATCTGGCTGCATTCCACCCACAGTGGGACAGGCTGCCAGCTATGGTACATTTTCTAGAGTCGGTTTCACACTGTTCCCTTGCCGGCCATTTCACACAAATGCACTTCTGCACACGAAGAGTCTACATATTGAAACAAAGGCACATCCTTCGTGGCAATGCAGGTGGGACATACAGGGAGCCCACCTGGTACTGCATTTACCCCCGGTCACCCAAGGAGCCCTGGCCCAATGCAGACCACCTTTGTCAACCAGCACCTTCCTGGAGAGGCATCTGCACCTGGTCACTTGTCATGCCTTGGCCAGTTCTTCAAAGACCGGCTCTGTTGTGAAAGTAGCCCCAGAGCTCAGCATACTGCAGCATTTTTAGCAGTGTTGTGCAGAAAGCCAAGATTGAAGTCTGGCCCTTTAAATTCCAAGTCAGCTGTGCCTCTGGCAGGTCTTGCCTTTAGCACCCTAAGTAACACACTCCAGACTGTCAAGGATAGGGACTCACTGCTGATCCGGCTATTGCTAACCTGCCTCTATGGCAGTGGCTGCCCCAGGTTGCTCTCAGGTGCTGGGTGGGCATGAAAGGGTCGAACGGCCCTGCCCTCATCCCTTGTTTTCTAGGGAAACTGTTTACCTAGAGTGCACAAAAAGCCTCTTTCTTGCTGAGCAGATAATGGCTTGTTTACAGATCACCGGATGTGAACAGTGCTAGAAAACCCGAGCACCCTCAGGGAACATGAAGAGCAAGTTGCTGGCACCTGTGGAAACATTTTCACTCCGGAAAGTTCAGAGCACTTTGTCTTTTCAGGAAAAGTAGGTGGAAGGTGGTCGAGTGCATCTGCTTGATCCCTCCTTGATTTGGTGCTTTCCTGAACCATCCACCACCCGAAGGGATCACTTTTATGCTGTGAGATCACACCAATTGATGATTAGCCAGAGAAACAGTCCTTCGAATCAAGGACCCCACACGGTGGCTTTTGACTTAGCAGAAACGGAGCAGATAGTAGGGTTTAGTCATGATGCTAAATTCCAGGATGACTCATCTGAGCTTTTCTTACACTGAGGTTGCCTGTACTAAAGACAGGAGGCATGTGTCAAAACGAAGACCAAAAACTCCAGCTACACAACGCAAGAACATCTTTCACTGCCTAAGGATAGAGTGTCAGCAGCTGTCAGCATTCAGCCAGTGTACCTCCAAGTATCTAGTTATATTCTTCATGAGTGGGGAGTCATTGGTTGAGAAATTTGCGTTTTCTGCCCCACACCCCAACTCCGCATTTACTTGACAAAAGACATTCTTTTGACCCTGTGGTGTATGAGTATGTGTTTACATAAAAGGGATGTCAAAGAGACCCGTTATCATTAGAATTTGCCACACTGGCAATTTGCAGATCTACCTCTGCCCTACATTTTGCATCATAACGATGCCACAAAATAACCTTTATTTTTCAATATTGTTGACAATATCCACTTAAGATTCCGCCAGAAGTAGTTACACCCCTTGTGGAGGGAGCTGCCAGGGTGGGGGTGGAGAGGGGGTCATCAGGACACATCTGTCTGGAAAAGGGCAGTGCAGGATTTCTAGCTGCCTTAAGAAGAACACCTTTTCCTTGTGTCTGGAAGTCCCCACTGCCGTTGCTGCTTGTGCAAAGAGACCTTGTGGCCATGCCCAGGTAAGGGCACTGCCTCACTCGTTGGTAGTGTTTTGACTGTGGTCTAAACTTTTGCCTGGAGTGAAGCTGTGGTAATAGTTGAGAGTAAGTAGAAAGTGTGAGGAATGACAGCCTTCGTGAAGTGGTCGCATGTTCTCCGACAGGCACACAGCAGTGAAGAGGACAAGTGGTGGCTACAGAATGTCTGCTGCTGTGAGGCCGTTTGCAGTAAACCCCTCCTACCACCCCCTACCCCCAGTCTGGTGTAAAAGCTAAACAGTTCTTGACACCACAATTTCAATCCCTAGTGCCATTTACAATGCCACCTTTCATAACCCAAGCCAGTGAGGCTTTTTTGATTTGCAGTTGGTGTAGAAATGATTGATCAGACGAATATTTCTTTCATACTAGAAAACCTGAGAACCTAGCTCAAGAAATTCCATTGCAGACTTGCAAAGGACCCAAAGTGCCCCACTCTGCTTAGCTCAGCAGCTGGCTGTGCTGGATTGCAATTCCTTTGTAACCCACACTAGCAATGCCTGCGACTTGCTGTGAAGTGCACAGCATTGGTACTTGAACTGAATTGAGTCATTAATGATGTAAATATTCATAAAACCACCACAAAGTTTCTCTGAGACTTTTCTGGCCATGCCAGAGCTGCAAAGCATATCGTTTTCATGCTCAACTTGGGTTTGCAGGCAAGCACATGTTATTTTAAAATCTGGAAGCATCTAAATAGGACTCCCTGCAAATCCTTGTTCTGAGACCATCTGTACCTATAGGAAAACTGTAAAAGCATGGTATAAAATGGCGCTAGAACAGGGGTTGGCAAACAGTGGCCCACGGGCCACGTAAGGCTGTGAGGGAAGCATGCTACGCATTGAAAGTAGTGTTGAAGAAGAAGGGAGAAGAGCAGATTGATACCATAGGTGGTATGTACTCCACTGTCAGCTTGCCTCCCTCCTCTGCTCTGGGCCTCAGCAGAAGTGCACCCCTGCAGTGATTTCGGGGTGCATTTGCCAGGATGGAAATAGCACATCCATACAGTGGTTCTCCACCTTCCTAATGCTGCGACCATTTCATACAGTTTCTCATGTTGTGGTGATGCCCCCCCCAACCATAAAATTATTGTTGCTACTTCATCACTGTCATTTTGCTTCTGTTATGGATCGGGCAATCCCTGTTGAAAGGGTCGTTCGACCCCCAAAGGGGTTACGACCCACAGGTTGAGCACCACTGATTTAAGACTTTTTTGTTAGATGTAGTCATAGAATTTGGGTTTGAATATTTATATGATAGAATTATTTTTCCACACCAGTTTTGTGACAGTGGTCTGCAGCCACCTGCTGCAAAGTGCTTCAACTCGGGAGAAAAGACTGAGCAAGGCCAATGATCCCACTGTCATAGCAAAGCCGATTCTGCCCCATCATATAAAATGCAAAGGCTGGCTGCATGTAGCTCTTGAGTGCAAGCTCCCAGAAGTTTGAGATGTACTTGTAAACCATTTTTCCTTATGTCATATAAATGTGTCGTGTGATTTTTCAAGGAACTAAAGAACTATTGAAGTCACTTTTTAAAAAACTTTCTAAATGAGTAAGTTCAAAGTCCTTTCCACAATTAACTCTGGTTTCTTTTCAGCTCTTTTTTTCAAACTACATTGTTTTATACCAATGACTAAGTGAATCTATTTGAGAAACTTGTTATAAATTCCCATGTAATGTGCCAATCAGACATTATTTTCTGTCCAGCATTTCCATACTTTTAATATTGGTGAGTCATATATCGATGTGACCACCAGTACAACGTCCAAGCTAAATGTAATGTCTCCTGCTTTCACATTTGTTGCCGATGAAATGTGCGCTAACAATTATTTACTAAACACATAGATTTACTGGATCTTTACAAGCAATGCCGCCCCCTTCGGGGATCCCAAGCCTGCATATTCACCTTTCCCCATTTGATTTGCCAATATTTTTTTCTAGAAAATTGTAGAATAATGTATTCTATTGAATGTGCTATAAGCTAGGCTATATTTCCACATTAATTACCTCTGTATAATTGAAGGTATTAAATGATACTGTTTTGACTAAGTCTTCTGTAATGTTGTAGCCCTGGCTTCCAGTTACTAGTTGCCTACACTTACATGATTGCAGGGCCTCCACGTCTGCTCACGCAGCTTGCACACTGCACACAGGCACCCACTTGGAGAATGGAGGTGAACAGAATCTCGCCTGTGCTCATCTGGCCCAGATAGGTGCCTTGGTAGGGTTGCATCTCAGAGGATATGCCTTTTCCCAGTTTGATAACGGGAGCAGTGTGGACCACCGGTGATCCCGTGCCATTGTGCTGGGCCTTTTGTGTTCCTTAGAGGCAGTACCTTTCTACTCCAAACCTCGATACGCTGTGGCATGGAAGCAAACGCTTCGGTTTAGTGTTTATCATCTATTAATACCCAGCATCCTCGCCTTCAAGAGCTCTGGAGTAAGCACGCAAACCTTCCAGCTTCATGTCACAAAGATGGGCAGATTGAGAAACAGAGACATTAGGTGCGTAAGACCCGTGCGAAGATGGTTTCCATCTTTGGCAATGACCAAACTGCCACGGACAGGGTTTAAAGCACCCTTCAGCTCACCTGCTTTGCTCTTCAGCTGCCCTGGTGGCACCCTTTCAACAAGCCTGCCGCACTCTCCCAGTCGATGTTGACCATACGGCAGATTTTTTTTTGTGCCTGGGAGGGACAGCCTGCCCCAGGCAACACAAGGATGCTTGCCACAGATAAACCCAGAAAAGTGAATTTGCAAAGAAGTTTGGACTTGATGGCAGTGAATAAAGAGTTATAGTCTCAGAAGCCCACAGGGGCGTTCTGCCCCGTCAGCCCTGCCTCCTGCACTGCCCCACTATAGGGTTGCTATGAGCCAGAACCAGCTCACTGGCAAGTAGTTTGAGCTTTGGGTTTGTAAGAAGCAGCTGGATGTGTGACACTATGGGTCAGGTGTTCTGGTCAGTGGGTCAAGCTCCATGGAGACAAGTCAGGCTGTGTGTTTCCGTAAAGATCCCTGGTCTAGGAGAGCATGCATAGGATGGATCACTGAGTCGCTGCCCACTCGATGGC